GGAGAGGAGAAAAGCAATATTAACTTACAGTACAATTTCAGTGTCCTAGTAGGATGAGACCTTACAAATTGGTTGGGGAAAAGAGCACAAAGAAGTAGTTTCAGACAAACATAGTAATGGGAATGACTCAGGAGCACTGTGATGGGTGCAACCTGATAAACCTAAGCTCCTTTTACTTCAACACTCCATTAAAAAATATTTGCCCAGGGCTTATTCCTAAATCTATGGTCAGTCCTGGAGGTGCTCAGAAGATTAACTATAATATGAAAGATTGAACCCAATTTGGTGTCTAGTAAGGCAAAGGTCCTACCCACTATGCCTCCTACAGTTTCAAATGCTTTGACTTTTAAAGTTTAAATGTGCATATGTTGAAGTTTCCCACCAACTCATATGCCTCCTACCCAGTTCTCATTGCAGATATTACTTCCTGATGTTTTAAGTATTCATAAAACTAATGCAGTTTTTCTTACTTTTCATATACTGGAAATAGTCTAAAAATAATTTTACATTACTTTTTCCATCAAAAACTGTATTTTGGATATAGTTCCAGATTATAATATAAGGAGCTTCTTAAACTTTATTAATGATTCATAGAGCTTCATTGGACGCATGACCCTGATTAATCTCACCAGGCTACTGCTGATGAACTATTTTGCTGTTAGCACAATTGCCAATATAAGAGTGCTGAATAAATAATATTGCACATTTTAAATTAGTTTGCATGTGAATCGCATATCTATAAAATATTTTAAGAAAGTTAACTCTTGTCTTAAAGACAGTTATTATGGTTATTTAAAATAAATTTTAATTTTGGTATATAGATATGAATTCCTCTTCTGATGCATGTTTTCGCATTTTGCAGAACAGTATTTATGATGAGAAGATATTTTTATATAGAGATAGCACCATATTGGATGGGACTCAAATATAGTTTGAACCATGGGAACACATGCAAGGACGATTAGAGGCCACCCTAAACATCTTTATTCCTCTCGGAGATCCTGGCAAGCTACCAAGAATATCCTGCCCACAAGGCAGAGCCTGGCAAGCTCTCCGTGGCGTATTCAACATGCAAAAACCAGTAAATCCAATAGGTCTCATTCCCCTGACTCCTGAAAGAACCACAAATACGGCAGCATTAAGAAGGATGAGGAAGCAGAAGCTGATGAAATCTCAAGTCCGAACTAGGCTGTCAAAACGAAGGACAAAATGACTGTTGTACTTTCTTTTTTTTTTGCATTTTGAATAATTATTTAATTTATTTCTGTTTCTAGTGCAGATTTTTTTAAAGTACAGAAACTTCATTTTCTTTTTTTTTTAATTGGTGAAACACCATGAGGTATAGTTGTAGATTTACAATTTTTTTGTATTTGGGTTTCGATTATACAATGATCAAATACCCATCCCTTCACCAGTGCCCATTTTCCATCACCATGGATAATGTCCCTCCCACCCCCATTCCCCCATCCCACCCTGCCTCTGTGGCAGGGCATTCCCTTTTGTTCTCTCTCTCCTTTTGGGTGCTATGGTCTGCAAAAGAGGCATTGAGTGGCAAACATGTTCAGTACATAGTCTACTTTCAACATGCATCTCCCCTCCTGGGAGGGTCCTCCAAACACCCTTTATTTAGTGCTCCCTTCTCTATCTGAGCTGCCCTTTACCCTAGAATGCCCGGCTGGCCTCTGAGCTATAGAATAATCCTCCTGGTACTGATCTCGGCTATTCTTGGGTATTAATCTCCTATTTTGTTACTTCATATCCCCCCGATGAATGCAATCTTTCTATGTCTATCCCTCTCTTTCTGACTCATTTCGCTTAGCATGATACTTTCCATGTTGTACCACTTGTATGTAAATTTCATGACTTCATCTTTTCTAAGAGCTACATAGTACTCCATTGTGTAGATGTACCAAAGTTTCTTTAACCAGTCATCTGTTCTTGGGCACTCAGGTTTCTTCCAGTTTCTGGCTATTGTAAAGAGTGCTGCAATGAACAAACAAGTGCAGATGTCACTTCGGCTACACATTTTTGCCTCTCTGGGATATATTCCCAGGAGTGGTATCGCTGGGTCAAATGGGAGCTCAATTTTTAATTTTTTGAGAATCGTCCATACTGTTTTCCAGAAGGGCTGAACCAGTGGACATTCCCACCAACAGTGAAGGAGTGTCCCTTTCTCACCACATCCACGCCAGCATCGGTTGTTTTTGTTCTTTTGGATGTGGGCCAGTGTCTGTGGTGTGAAATGGTATCTTATTGCTGTTTTAATCTGCATCTTACTGATGATTAATGATGTAGAGCATTTTTATGTGCCTTTTATCCATTCGGATTTCTTCTTTGAGAAAGTTTCTGTTCATTGTCACCCTATTTTTTGATGGGGATGGGGAACATAAAGTAACAAAATAGGAGTCTAACACACAAGAGTAGCCTAGATACATACCAGGAGGTTTACTCCATGGCTTGGAGGCCAGCCTCACACGCTAGGGGAAAAGGCAGCTCAGATAGAGACGGGAGCACCAAATAAAGGGTGTTGGGAGGATCCTTCCAGAATGGGAGAAGCATGCTGGAAGTAGACTATAGACCGAACATGACTGCCACTCAATGCCTCTTTTGCAGACCACAGGACCCAAAAGGAGAGAGACAACAAAAAGGGAATGTCCTGCACAGAGCCAGGTTGGGATGGGGGATGTGGAGTGGGAGGGATACTGGGATCAGTGGTGGTGGAGAATGGGCACTGGTGGAGGGATGGGTACTCAATTATTGTATAACTGAAACCCAAGCACAAATATTTGTAAGTCTACAAATGTACCTCATGGTGTTTCACTAACAAAAAAAAAAATTTTTTTAATGATAGAAATTTTCAGTTGTCTCCTGTATTCGGTGTTCGTGAAAAATCTGTTGACATTCTGATTTCTCATTCTTTGTATATAAAGATTTTTGTCTCTACACCAACTTTATTGGTATTCCCAGTGGGATTATCCAGGATTATTGTTTTTTCTACAATAATGTAGTAATTTTCTGGTATTTTTTAGTAATGCTATTGAGTATTGGGTGGAACCTGTAGACAAGAATGTTTTTTTCTTCTAGTATCAAAATTGTCTCCAATTCTACAATATCATTTTAAATTGTATTTGGAATGTTTTATTATATGTGGGGATCCTGGCCATTCAACCCCAGCAAACTGGAGTACAAACCCCCCAAATCACCAGACTTACTCTCTAGAGGGGAGGGAATGGGTAGGGAAGAAGCTTCTGCCCTGGCACTCTGCACAACACAGGATTCCCGGGTTCCTGCTCCAGCTGCCAAAGCCACAGAGGACGGGTCAAGCAGTTCTCCATTTATTGGCCCCTACCCAGGGGTTCTTATAGTACATTGGCGAGGGGGAGGGGGCTTCAATCCCACACTCAGCACAGTTCCCTTGTATAGCACATTTCTCAGGCTCCTCAGGTGGGGTTCACAGCTGTCAGTTAATGATGTACATATCCTGCTCTTAGGGCCAGGTTGACAATATGGGTGTGTGGGCACAGTCATGTCCCTCATTCTTAGCGAGAGTGCCTGCCTGTGGGGAGTGCTTGAGCTGGGCCCCTGGGTCTTTGCAAACAGGGCCTGCTCTTGCTTCCAGGGACAGGGGATTTGGTCAAAGTCTCAGGCTAGCTGCTGAGACCCCAACAATAATACATATTATGCTACCTATAAGAGATATTTTAGTATGTGAGTGCATTAAATGTGCTGTAAATTTATAATATTATATAAATAGTTTTTCACAAAAATTTTTAAAAAGCCAAGAGTTCAGAAAAACTGTGTATTTGTTGCATACAGCAAAGTTAGGTGTTCAATAAAAATGTCTGTCAAGAATGTAAATAGTTATTATTTTTGTATTTAAAAAATAGTTTGACAAGTTACTAAATTTTACATACTTATTATAGCCAATTAAATTCAAAATTTCAAAATGTGGTGGCAAATTTTGCAACAAAAATATAGTACAGTTGTGAAACATTTCACAATCTTTCCTAATTTCAAGAAGTTAACTCTTCTTCAGGTTGGAGCAATAGCACAGTGGGAAGGGCATTTGCCTTGTATGAAGCCAACCCAGGTTCAATTCCTCCGTCCTTCTCAGAGAGCCCGGCAAGCTACCAAGAACTTCCCACCTGCAGGGCAGAGCCTGGCAAGCTCCCCATGGCGTATTCAACATGCTAACAACAGTAACAACAAGTCTCACAATGGAGACATTACTGGTGCCTGCTCAAGCAATTGATGAACAACGGGGAGGACAGTGCTACAGTGACAGTGCTACATTGCAACTCTTCATGATGCTTATATTATTCATGATATAATGCAATATATTACAACTATATATTGTATTAAAACATTATAAATGGTTCAACAAATAATAAGATATTACTATTAGTACATATTACATATATGTAAGTATCTATAGGAGTTATGTGTTCATTTGGGATAAGAAATCCCAGGTGACCCAAAATTTGCTATAACAAAATTATTTATCAAATAGATACCATTGTTGAATTTATGTAATATTAAATATATGAATTCTCAATCTCATTTTGTTTAGTTTTGGAGGAAAATCCTGCTAGTGGTGCTCAGGACCTACTCTTAGTTCTGGGCTCAGGGATCACGCCTGATGGTACTTGATAAACCAACTGAGATGCGAGAATCAAACCTAGATCACCTTTGTTGCGAAACAGGCACCTGATCATCATTCTGTGCCTTTCACCGCAGAACCTCCATTCTTTATAGTCAAGTAAAAGAAGCAGAGTACTACAAAAATTATGCTATATCAAATAAAATGTTCTAATTATAATATATTGTGTTTGGAAATGATTAAAGATTTTGAAGAGCTGAAATAAAATTAATAATTGTACTGTAGTGTATTCTCTTTAGTTAATTTAGTTCAATTGCTTTTAGTTAATAGAATAATTGCGGATGGAACATCCTTACAATACCACGCTATTATTCAAGATCTATGTTGTTTCCCTTTGTAGCTTGTAGTGACCTGGAGTTCAGAGAAGTGGCAAACAGACTGCGGGACTGGTTCAAAGCCCTCCACGAAAGTGGAAGCCAAAACAAGAAGACAAAAATCTTGCTGAGGCCTGAGAGAAGCAGTAAGTTCTATAAATTTGATATATGCCATTGTCTTTGATATGAAGTCTCATTTCTAATGAACATGTTTCAGAGTGTATCCTTTACTTGGAAAAGTCTCAACAATGTACATGCCTGTAATATTTTGCAAGAAAATGCTGCATGTGTGGAACTCTAATTGGCAGAAAAGACAATCTCCCCTTATGAGAGCATTTTGCTTCACATTGACTAGAAAGAGGAGGAATCATTCTTTCAGTGTTTGGTAGAAGTGGCAAAGAGAAAAACAATGTAGGAAATGAAGAAAGAGTTTGGGAGTATCTTGATATTTATGAACATGGCCCCACCTAAACCTCAAATTGGCCTTTTCCTGATTTCTTTGCAGATAATTTATAATTTGATTTGAACATGATAGTACACATGCTTATTTTCAATGAAACTATGAAGAAAAATATTAAGGAGGGAAAAATAAGAATCATATGAAGTTTATATGATTCATCAGTTGAAGAAACTACCAAAGTGTTTTTAAATTTAGAATACAAAATGCAAATCAGAATAGAGCTCTTGGTCGGAGTTATTTTATGAACATTTTATTTTACATATTTACCTATAAAATATTCGTTTCATATTTAATGCATGTGAAATGTATTGAAACATGACGATAAATTGAGGGAGCTTTGAACATTAAGCATTTACTCAAGAATGCTGGAAGGCATATATTACAGTAATGATGAACATCTCATAGCTGACAAGGAAAATAGAGAACACCAGCATTTGCCTTTTCTTTATTATGTAACATGGTCCGACCACTCTCATTTATAATCAGGTCGGCTGCGCATGGAAGGAAAAACCCTCCCTGCTGTACTAGCACTCCAGCCCCATGAATATTTTTATCTTCACAAATTTATCTACTGAGTTTTATTTCACACTAAATATCAATCCTATATCTAGACAGGCGTACAAGAAGAGAGTATAGAACATCCACCATAGTGCCTGTTAATTGTATTCAAACACAAGTATTTCTCTTTGTAGTGTTTCTTGTAGGAAATGAAAAACTCCTAAATTACAGTCAATTGCTTAGGAGTTGAATGCCTTTGGAGAGTTAAAAAAAGAAAAGAGTGGGTATAAAATCATTGATATTGCTTCAAGGAATCAGAACCCAATTATGAACAGATTTCCAAATGGAAGTTTCCCTTTAGAGCAGATGCATTTCCAGAGGGCTGGAGCCATAGCACAGCGGGTAGGGCGTTTTCCTTGTACCTGGCCTAGCGGGCCGACCTGAGTTTGATTTCTCTGCCCCTCTCAGAGAGCCCGCCAAGCTACCAAGAGTATCTTGCCTGCACGCCAAAGCCTGGCAAACTACCCGTGACATATTCGATATGCCAAACACTGTAACAAGTGTCACAATGGAAACATTACTGGGCCCGCTCAGTAACAAAAATCGATGAACAACGGGAAGACAGTGACAGTGACATTTCCATAGATGAGAAATGTCAGATCAGTGCACTTTTGGGTAAATTCTTCCTTGGCATAATTATATTTAATTTTCAAAGAAACATCACACATTATACTGCCTAGCATTGGTGACTATAGCATAGTGTCAATACTCTTGTTCATTTCTTGGTTTTCTGCGTGATGCTCTCACACGAACATTGTGTCTTTCACACTCAAGACTTCTACCCCTACTAAGACTACCCAAAACCAAAGGGAACAGAATTCTGGTTTTTTTTAATTTTTACCTTTTTTGGGTGTGTGTGTGGGAGAGGTGGGACATACAAGGTGGTGGTCAGGGCTTAATTCTGGCTCTGCACTAAGCAATCACTCCTGGCAAGCTCTGGTAACTATCTCAGGTGCTGAGAATCAAATCCAGGATTGCTGTGGGGAGAAGGCAGTTGGGATGGAGAAGGGACCACTAAGTCAATGAGGGTTGGAGGGATTGTTTGGGATGGGAGATGTGTGCTGAAAGTAGACTAGGACCAAACATGATGACCTCTTAGTATCATATTTGTATTGCAAACCATGATGCCCAAAAGTAGAGAGAGAGTAGGAAGAAAAGTGTCTGCCACAGAGGTAGGGGTTGGGGTGGGGTGAGGGAGTGGTGGGGGTGACACAGGGGACATTGGCAGTGGAAAATGTGTACTGGTGGAGGGATGAGTGTTCAATCATATGACTGAAACTCAATCATGAAAGCTTTGTAACTGTATCTCACGGTGATTCAATAAAAGAAAAAAGAAAAGGAAGAAGCGATAGACGAGAAGCAATGGGAGCAGAGATCAAAGGGGCTCATGTACATTGTTGGTGTCAAGGAATGATAGAGCTAATATCCAAATCACAGAGTCAACAACACTGAAATCACAAAACCCAAACTTTAATAACCAGATTTAAGAGGTCAAGGCGTCAGACTGGGACTAGGCAGGTTGAATCTGGAATCACTGGTGGAGGGAAATCGACAGTCAGTTCAGGATTGGTGGACCATTGTATGTTAAAATTCCAATTATAAATAACTTTGTAATTTATGATATTTTAATAAAATAAAGTTTTGATGAAAAAAGTACTGTACTGTACTGTCCTCCCATTGTTCATCAATTTGCTCGAGTGGGCCTAGTCACATCTCCATAGTGAGATTTGTTGTTACTGTATTTCGCATATCGAATACATCACGGGTAGCTTGCCAGGCTTTGCCATGCAGGCGAGATACACCCAGTAGCTTGCCGGGCTCTCTGAGAGGGGCAGAGGAATCGAACCCGGCTCAGCCAGGTCGGCTGCGGGCACGGCAAACACCTTACCACAGGGCTAGAGTGAAGAAAAAAGTAGAAGAAAAAATAAAAAAGAAGCATCTTCCCATTGGGGAGATTGGTGGTGGAAAATGTATACTGGTGAAGGGATGGTGTTGGAACGTTATAGGTGGAAACCCAATCCCAAGCAACATTGCAACTGTGTATCTCACTGTGATTCAATATATATATTGAACATATATCCATATATTTTATCAATAAGCACCTTCTCTTCTGTGCTATTACTTCCGCCCAAAGAGGAGAGATTTTTGTTTCACATAATATCCTCCAAACCTGGTGTAGCTTGGCCCATTCTACATCTAAAAAAAATAAGTGAAATCAATAAAAGTATAAAGCAAGAATGACACTTAGAATACTACAATTTGGATATAGAACACCGTAATCATTTTTCTGTATATTGGTTATTTTGCTTTCTTTACTATTGTTTATTGTAATCTAAATGGTTGCTTATTGTTTGTTTACTGATTGATAGCTTAATGTTTCCATTATTTTGTCCATGACTACAATTTCTGTAATTTGTAAGCTTTTATTTCAATGGGAATGATTTCAGTCAGTAGAAGTAATGTAACAAAATGTGTAATGTGTGTGTGTTTAATTATAAATAATGATCATTGTTGCCTGAGTGCTTTGCAAAAAGCCTAGGACATTTTAAATTTCTAATAGTAAGGCATAAAAGTTAACTATTTATTTCATTCCTGAATTAAAACACATACACACATCATCATCATCATCATCATTCTTTGTTTTCTGTTCTGATGAGCAGAGTTTATTTTAAAATATTATTCATATTTGCCAAGATGTGCTCATGGCTTACTACTGGATATGTGATCATTGGACCATAGGTGATGCAAGGGATCAAATCAGCGTAGGCTGCAGCAAAGCAAGCAGTTCTGGATCTTTCAGTCCTATATTTTCTCTTTAAAAAGTGAATTTGAGCATAGAGTTGGGGGCACCACGATTTTGAGAAGCAATACAACAGAGCAAAGTAAAATAGTTAAATCTAGTAAACTATCATAGTGAGTTTAAATATTGGCCATTGAATCAGTTCTCTCAATTCATAATTATAAGGAATTACTAGATAAAGATGCTGACTGATGGGGTTCTGAGTGAGCTCAGTGCATGTGGACAACCATCTTCTGACTAGGAGGGGAGAGAAAGACTTATCCAGAGACTTCTGTATAAGAACAGTAATTCAGTCAGGTTCTGTGCTCACAGCTTACTTACCCCGAAACTCAGTTGCAAATAGATTTACTTAGGAGGTCAGGGCAGCAACATATATGGACTTAGGGAGGACACAATTAAGTCTATGGCATAAAGTAAAGCAATGTTTCCATCATTTATGTCCACTTACAAGTTTAATTCTTAGAAATTTATATTGTATTGATAGTTTGATAGTTTCCACTCTCTTGGTCAACTTCAATTGTAGCTATTTTTAATATAATTTTAGGCACTAAGGGTTTTTTTTGGCACTAAGTTTTTATCTATTAAAATTTATTATGGTTTTCATTTGATTAAATTTCACCTCATTGATTTTTATAGATTTCATGTTATCTATAACATGAGTGATAGCACAGCGGTAGGGTGTTTGCCTTGCACGCAGCCAACATGGCCGACCCGAGTTCGATTCCTCCGCCCCTCTGGAGAGCCCGGCAAGTTACCGAGAGTATCTCGCCCGCACCGCAGAGCCTGGCAAGCTACCCGTGACGTATTCAATATGCCAGACACAGTAACAACAAAGTCTCCAATGGAGACGTTACTGGGCCCGCTCGAGCAAATTGATGAACAACGGGAGGGCCTTTACTTTACATGTTATCTAATAGTAATATCATTCCCATATTAAATTTTATCACATATACATTATAAACTAAATAAAAAATTAGTAATACTGTCAGATTTGTTTTTCTTGTAAACAATAAACATGCTTAGATTTTAATTTTTTGATATGAGTGAGCAAGATTTGCATTTTTAAAAATAGTTAAAATAAGAAAAGTCGAGGACTGAAGCAGTAGCATAACATGTAGGGCCTTTACCTTGCATGTGGCTTACCTGGGTTCAATTTTCAGCATCCCATATGGTCCCTCGAACACCACCAGGAGTAATTCTTGAGTGCATGCATTGCTGGGTGTGACCCAAAAAGAAAAAAAAAAATCAACGTAAAGAACAAGAGTATCTGCTATTAAGGCAAATTACTTAGAAACAAAGAAAACTTAATCATTATGAATTTTAATAAA